ATAATGGAAAGTATTTAAAAGAGAGACTCTACACGCGGACAGGTAGATGGATGGCGGCTGATGACGGGCAATCACATGTGGCTAAATGGATTAAAAAGCGGCCAAGAGAGCGAGCGAGAGGGAGAAAAGCTGAGCACGTAAATGAGCCACAGCCGGAACTTGGTGCGAAGTCAAGGTAAACTTTTATGGGCTTCGTTACTCACTTCTTTTCTGTTTCTGCAATTTTTGCATGCGGGTGAAATTGAAAATACAATACAAATACAAATACACTGTAGAAAACCCATAAAAAGTGTATTTTATGTGCTACCTGTATGCGGTAGCAATTACTTCAGGCAAAAAAACGACGAAAGGCAGTTCATAAAACTGTAAAAAAGAGACAAATGATGCTCTTGTTTTAATGAACTTTAAAAGGGTGCGGGGTTAGTTTGGTTTTTACGTTTTTAGGTCGAATTTAATGAGGTTCAAATGTAATATGGGGCAAAAGAAAATTACGTTTCCTCAAGTCAAAAAAAACTTGTATATTTAATCTAATATTAAGAGAAATATATTTTTAAACTTATATAAAAGATAATTCTTTTATGAAACTTTCTATAGAAAGGAAGACATTACAATTGACATCCAATTCCAAAAAAAAGTTTAGGAAAGGTTAAGGAAAGGTTAAAGAAAGGGTAACTTCACCGTATTTCAAACCATTAAATTTGTTGTTAGTATTGTACCTATTCTTTCTATTCTTTTTTTGAGCCCACCTGCAATTATGTTGGAAATAAGTTCACGAGGCTGCCAAGTCAACCATTGTCATCTTTTTGGCATCAGATGGAACCGCGTGATTCTGGGAAATGGAAATTTTCGTTGACCTTTGCTGCTTTGGCATTGCTCCCCCATTCGACACCAAAGTCGTGTTCCAAATTTCCAGCATTTGCCATACGCCAGCTAATGGGCAAATAATTACGGCCAGCATCTGGGCATCTAACGTTATTCGCTGGCTACCGTTGCACAATTGTCGGCTAACTGGGGTTGGGGGGTCGAAATTAGAAGAACCCAGTTTGTTTTATGGCAATTGTGTTTTTTTTCTTCTCTAACGAATAATTGCTCTCAAGTTTAAGACACAGCTCTCGATTTATTTCCAAGTGCCGTTGGCTTTTAGAAGATAACTTAACCGTTTTGGGTCGGATCAAAGGAGTCACATAAACACAGTTGGGGTTCTTAACCAGAAAACAGTTGGGAACTGTCGAAATATGCATTTAAATAACTGGGTGTTATCTTCCACGGCAGCTGTTATGAATAAAATGTATACATTTAAAAGAAATACTTTAAGATTCGACAAAAAAGACTAAAGTTCTGTTGTTATTTTAGCAGGAGACAAAATAGAAATTGAGTAAAACTTAAATTTTAAATAGCCACAATAGAATTTCATGATTATCTAAAGTTGTAATCTCCACAATTTAAAAACTTATTACTATAAGATTTCTGTAGAGACTCAAAGCAGTCAAATGTATTTGTATTTAAATTTTTTTTATTGGTATTGGTAGTTATTCTGTCTGATGTATAAATAAAAAAAACTTTAATAAATAATTATATTTTAAAAAGCCTATTAAGATTTTTATTTGTTTGTTTACCAATTTGTTTTCCCAAATTGCTGAGCTTTCTATACTTTTTGGAATAAAAACAAGGTTATTTTTGACGTTGACATTAATAAAAGTTTTAAATAAGTTTTGATTATGGTTTCTGATAAATATGTGTCACTGGCATTCAGTCATTTATTAAAGATATTCAACACCTTATTCATTTTTCATAGCTTGTTTAAAGGTTTCTAAACGTAATGAATTTTCGAAAGCCAAGAAACCTTTACCAGTTCTAATTCTTGGAGTCCCTGGGAGCTAATTGCTCGTTCTCCATCGCTGACTTGCTGGCCGTCAGGTATTTGTAATGAACTCGAGTTGAGTACCTTGATACGCCTGCTGGCTGCACTAATTCGAGCTTGATCCGGCGGCGCTTTGTCTTTGTCTCCTCGCCAGCTGTTCCCTTTGTCAGTCGGGCAGATTGTGAGTTCATCGGTTTGTCAGTTAGTCAGTTAGTCAGTAAGTCAGTCATTAAGTGGTCCAGTGCGTGGAGTGTCAATGAACGGCGGCGACAGAAGCTTGTGATCGCCTGAGAGCACCTGTTCTCGTTTGAATACCAAAGCCCAAGGTGCTGTGACAGCTGCGAGGCGGCGGGTTAAGGTTAAGGCCCAGATGATTAGCACTCAGACCTTATACCTTATGGTTAAATAAAAAAGATTCTCTATGTAGTAATATATCTGCAAATATCCATCTCTCGCTCTATCTCTCTAGATTGCTCGTAAATCGCAAAATCAGCAAAAGCAAAATGGGCAATGGGCTATAAAAGTCCGGCATGGGTATACAAAACATATTAAATTGGGACAGGAAATTAAAACGTTAGCAACCAGCTGGAGCAGAAACGGTAACAGTCAACGGAGCTCTCCAGCCCATATGATAAGCCCCCCAAACATGTGGAGCGAGAAACCCAACGAGCCAAAGTTGAGCAGCTGGCAAAAGGGCAGGGGAAAAGTTGTAGCCACCAAGATTAATAATGCCCAGACATGGAGTAAGAAAATGAGAAAAAAGTGCAAGTAACATGTGTGTGTGTGTATGTACTTTACTGGACCGGAGTGGACCCATTGTGGCAGTGGCATTTGCAGTCCGGGGGGAAAAAAATGGGGCTACATCGTTGAAGGCGGTGTCCACTTCCTTCACCGATGACTGAGTGAAACTCTTACAAAGAAAGCAAACGATTGTTTAGGCTTTCTATACAATTTTGCTAATGAGTGTTCAAAATAGATTTATTTTAGTGTGGCCAAGTGGTTAAAAGAAGCCACATTTACTAATGTTTCGTTAAAGTTAGTTATGGGTTCCGTTATTAAAAAACAAACAAAAAAAACAATATTAAAAGTTCTTGTGTGAGTCATATATGATGATATAAAATTGAATTCTAGTTCTCACAGTTGTAGATTTAAAAGATTTAGCAGAATACTTGTATTTTATTTTTGAAATATAAGCAAAAATAATTAGCATATCGCTGTTTTTTGCCGAACAGGAAGTTTTAAAAGTGTTAACCAGCCAATTACCTCTGAAGCACAGTTGACTACAAAGAGGTCTTCGTCCAACTGAAGACAATATTACTCATTTATGAAGATTTCAGTTTTCGTCAGTGAAATATATTTGTTAATTTTTTATTTGTTTACTATGGTGTTTTTTTATTCAAATTTGTTTGGACTTTTTGAAGAAAACCAAAGCAAATGAGACAATCAAAAACTTTTCAGCATTATTATGTAAATTCAGAGTTTGTGGATGAGGTTGTTATAGGGCCTGGTAGCTTATAGTGCCATTGACACTCTCTGTGGGTCTGTCGGCCTGACAGGTTTATCATTATCATTTTCATAATGCGCCCTTTTACTCCGCCACCCCCTTTTCTCCACCAACTTACTTAACAAACAAAATGACTATTGTTATAAGGTTCTGCCTGCTGATACTCACTCAGTTTGTATACGCATACTGTTAGTCATTGTTTTGGGGCCTGGAGTGTGAGGGTCTGTATGTGAGTTGCATGCACAAAGACAACCCCCAAAACAAGTGTATAAGTTGTTACTCAGAACTTCGGAACCTCAAAACCCCACGCCCGCCTTTTGTCCATCCTCTCGTTTTATATAGTATTCCTATTCCTATACCTATAGTATTTATGCATGCTCATGTGTGTCAATATTTGGTTTCCTAACTAATTATCAGTTCAGCGCACTCTGTGAGCAGAAGTCGGTGGCAGAGTGAGTGTCAACGCTTTGCGGTTGTCTCACCTCGGTAATTTGAGAGTTCGTTTAACTTTGCTTTTCAAATAAAGCCAGATCACAGGCAGATAAAGCTTTGGTTATATTTGGACACGGGTAAATAAGGAAGCAGCATCAGCTGATTGCCAGAAACTGCTAAGTCTGCTAAGTTACAGTTTTCATTTTACAGAGCTTTGGTTGGGGTCACCACCACCACACCACCTAATTCTGGTGACCTTCAGGCGCATTTTTTGATACCTTTAGGCCCAGCATATGCATAAATTGTGTTGGCCGCCTTTGTTTCTGTTTCTGTTTCTATTTCTATTTCTGTTTGTTTCTTGGCTGCTTCCACTCTTGTGATGTTTTAATTGCCGCTTGAACCTTGAATTTGCACACACCACAGAGTGCTTTTGGTGGTCACCAAACAAAAAAAAACAAAAAAAAAAACACAAAAAACTCTACAAAAACCGCTTGAGAAATGCTCGTAATTAAAGCCATAAAAATGAGTAAATACCGCATTTATCTTTAGCTTTGCTCTGTTTTCTGCGTTCTTTATTGTTAAGTTTTTTTTTCGGCTTCCTTTGTTCGACCTCTGACACGGGTATCTTGAGTATTTCCCTAATGCGGACAAATTATAACTTTGTGCAATTCTCCATGACTTGACCTTAGAAAGTTGATCGCAATAGAGTGAATGCTAACGAGCGTAATGTGGATGGTAATACATTAATGGTAATTATCACAAACTATTGGCTGGCCATAAATCATTCTTACGGAGTAGATAGTCTGCACAATTAAAGGGTATAAGTACTAAGTCTGAAACAATGCAACCACGAATTTTATTAACTCTTTGCTGGCTAAAAATAGCATTAACTCTTAGTTTTAAGTGCCGGTTTTTAAAATATGCTAATTTATATACAGCGTATGGCTAAGTGTTATACGAAATAATCTTAAATTGGGTAATTAATAACTTTGTGAACATTATGATTGACACAGCTGACGTATTCTAAGCGACCCTGACTACCTAAATCTGGTGAAAGATTGGAATAGCTGTCAAAAAAAAATACCGGATTGGTGACTCCCCTCTCCGCCAGTACGATAATCCCTCCCCGAACCACAAATCATACGGTTCTATTGTTCGCTGAGAATATTATAAATTCAAATGAAATGTCAGTTCAAAACTTACGCAACCAATCCGCCCAAGAAGGCAACTGGACCGCCGCCGATCAGGCGTATCTTTCGATGACAGGAATCGAACAGGGAGGTTCGAGTGGGCGCCTGCGAAGTGGGTGACATGATGATATGGCCACCACTGTTGTTGCTTCTGCTGCTGCTGCTGATGTTGTTGTTGCTGTTGCTGCTGCTGCTGGGATATTGCCGATCACTTGGCCTGCTAATGAGCAGTTGTTGTTGCTGCTGCTGCTGTTGTGTTGTAGTTCCTGTTGCTGCTGCTTTCCACGCTTGTTGTTCACTTGTTTTGCAATTGTAATTACCAATGTAGTTGTTGTTGTTGCTGCTGCTGCTGTTGCTGCTACCACTACAAGTGGTGTGTCTGGTGTTTTTACTGTTTTTATAATGAGTGTTGTTATGATTGTTAATGCAACTATTAGACAAACTGTTGCTGCTGCCGCTGGTGCTGCTGTTGCTGTTGATGCTGCGACAACTATCGTCGTCGTCGGTCGATGTTGCCGCTGCTGGTTTTGGCTTCTTGTTGCGCCTGAGAGCCGATGCGAAATTATAGCTGCACGGCTCCTTCTTTTTCTTCGGCTTCTTCGGCAATTGCTCGGTGTTTGTGGCTATTGCTGTTGTCAAAAATAACAAACAATTATCGCCTTGCTGATAGGAAGTTTGCTGATGCTGCTGCTGCTGATGATGCTGCTGCTGCTTCTTAAAATAAAATTCTGTGTCAATTGTTGTCTCCTCGATTGTGACTTTGGGCAACTTGTGTTGCTGCTGCCGGAAGCGTTGCAACAGTGTTTTGCGCTGCTGTTGCTGCTTGCCGCTTGGTGTTGCTGCTGCAGATATTGCCGCTGTCGATGTTGTCGTCGTCGTCGTCGTCGTCTTCGTTCCGAAACCGAGTTGCACGATGTGCTGTGTGGGCGCTCTCAACATTATTCACTGTCACTTTTGGCTTCTCTAAATTATTTTGTCACTATAATTCACTCATTTGTTATTGCTGCTGCTGCTTCTTTTGCTGATGCTAAATGATTTTGCACACATTTTAATTTGATTCAGTTCGTTTTTTTCCATCTTTCACTCTTGTTAAGCCAAAACTTTCTTCTAAAGAAAAATAAAACAAATAGGGAATTAAGTTTCAAAGCGAACTTTCAACTTTTTTTTGATTTTTTTTTGTTTTGGCCATTCCCTTTTGCGTTGCTTTTGCGAAATGGCAAAAAGGCCATTGAAAACTTCTCGTGTTTTGGGTGCCAGTATGTGTCATTCAATGGCTTCAAATTTTTCCACAAGAACTGCACAGTGGAATGAGTTTGATTAAATCTGGATTAGATTGGCCGCACTAGTTGTTGGCTAAACTAAGTGTTGCACATAAATAAGCTCGAAAGATTTAAATCTAAAAATACAAACAAAATCGATTTGACGAAAGCCTTAATCCGCATAATCCCACCAAATCTAAAGGGGCTAGAACCAATTTTGTAATAAATTCTCATGCGGTAATCTCCCACAGTGCGATGATGATGATGATGATGATGATGATGGCAGTGCCATGTGCTTTGAGCTTTCGTATTTATTATTTAGTTTTAATACAAATAAATGTGCGCGCTTTCTGGGCATAAATGTGCCCCCATCCATATATACATTTATATTTGAATATGTGTATATATATTTTTTATAGAAAACGCGATCGCGTGAGTTTTTCGACTCGTTGCGTAGTTCACACAAAACAAAAAACAAATGCAAAACTTATTCGCAATGGAGAGTGATTTGATTTGAGTAGGCGCTATTCGTTGGTGTGAGTTGCTAAGCTTAAATCCGCTTATATGTTAATTAGATTTACTAAAGAAATAAATTATAAGTTTCTTCCCTTTTTGTGCTGGCTTGGGTTTGGTTTTTGTTTTTGTTTTCGTTTTGTGTTTTTCTTGAACTTATTTGTTTGGCTTTTTCCTGACTGCAGTTAAATAATGCAAATGCTCCTCCAACAACACCCAAAGAAAACACACAACAAGTCGAAGATTTAATTGTACAAAATGAAATAAAATAAAATAAAGCACATTCAGCAGTGTGCTGCTGCCATTTCTGAGTTCCTTTTCACATTCGATTCAACTCGATTCGTCTCTTATTTATGCCTTTTTTTAAGACATTACTTTAAGACAACGTTCCGGCACAGGCCAAAAGAAAAAGAAAGTAAGAGGCGGCAGCGTCATCCGCTGCTTACGCAATAGCAGGCAAAAAAAAGCGAAACGACAAAGCAAAAAATTAAAACACATCATTAAAGAAGCACGACCAAGAAATGGGCTGGGCCTGGGCCCCAACTGGAAACTGGAAAATCTGCAGCCTACAAGATTCAGCAGGGGAAACAAGCAGAAGATACACAGACTAAAATCAACTCAAGACTGCAACGTGTCAAATAAAAAAAAAAAAAAAAAGGAAAAAAAAAAAGGAGTTGGACACCCGATAACCTTCACCCAAATACCCACATATAAATGGATTGAATCCACCCCAGCCTTGTTCAAAAAGAGAAGGGCACCTAGTCAAGCGAATTAGATTGGGAGTTGATTGCACCGATGGGTGGATATTTGAAACTATTTGGTAAATGCAAATCGATATAATGGTAATGGTAATGGCACAACAAAATCAACACAAAAGGATTGCCATTGATAAATAAATGGGGCAAGGATGAAGTCATATCCTTGGGTAATGTAAATCAATATAGTTTACGGCAATTTTTAAACTACATGATTGAAATCCAACTTTTTTGATTTAAGAACAATAAAAGATTGAATGAAAGTTAACCAGAAATCAATAAAAAGAGACTTAAATAAAATCAAGCTACTTGAATGCGTACTTTACCTTTGAATCTATAAATGTTTTTATTATACTTCTAGTTAATTCCCATTAAGCTTAAACTACATTTTTAATGAAAGACTTGCACATGAAACTTAAAATTTTATTTCTTTTTCGTTATAAATATATTATGATTTTGATTCAAAGGAAATGAAATTCCCTATCAGCGCTGATTCATTGTTCAAAACTCTGACACCATCCTATAATTATAACATTTTTGCGAAATTTCGGGAATCAAGACCCGAGATAATGCCCTGTTGGACGTCAGCTAAGCAGAGTAAGCCCCGCTCAAAAGCTGGCGATTACTCTATCGCATCACATATGACACATGGATTTCAGCTTTATGAATATGCCACAGAATTTCCCGGCACATGACAAACAAGAAAGAGCTTATCTGGCATGAACAACGTGCCCGATGAGCGAATTCAGTGATTCAGTGGCACGAGACAAGCGGGAAGACGACCAAAACAGGCAGTAGATAGTAAATATATATGCATATACATATACATATACAGCAAAATTATCTGCATCAAAGCATAGCTTACGGAAAAGTAAAAGAAAAAGGTGTGAAAAATAGAATGGCCTCTGTTTTGACACCTCCGGAAACATGGAAACATGGAAACTTGGGAACTTTCACATCTGGCGAGTACTCGAGATTGAATTGGCTCAGATGATGATGGGTGGTGCCGGCCACTACCACCTGGCTGTAGAGTGAAAATGAAAACCGAAAGTGTGTCTTATGGATTGGTGACTGTAAAACACTTCTAGCCGTGACAATTTTGAAAGGTGGAAAACGCAACACTTTCCATGTCTTTTAATTAGCAAATGAAATGCTCTTTGTGGATTTGTTTCTATTTCCATTTCTATTTCCATTTGCCAGGCACGTTGTTAGCCATATAAATGGCTAGAATTAAGCCAAGCTGGCAGCCATGAAAAGTTTCCAAAGAAAGCCGAGTGCAAAAGCATGAAACAATCTTATACAGGTGATCACGATGATGATGATGACACTTGGGATTTTTTCTTTTTTTTTTGAGTTTTTGGTAGGTTCTCTCATACCCGGCAATTGACACTAGGTGAATGGAATGGGGCGGCGGGTTGAGTTCGTTTGAGAGTGCGCAACACGCTTCGAGAATTTTAAAATGAAAGTTCGTGCCCGTTCACGGTTGACAAAGCATGCGGAAATCTCTAGCTCAAGCTCAAGCTAAAGAAATAAATCGCTTAAGAGCAAAATAAAAGTGTGAAGAGGGGAAAAGAGGCGAAGATAAGTCGGTATAAAAGTCTAGGCAAGAAAATATAATTATATTATTTTAATGTGTTTTCTCTGCTCTGCCTCGGCTGTTGCCTTTTCCTTATATTTTCCTTCTTTTTTTTTTTCATCCGTAGCAGCTGTCGTTTTCTAGCTGGCATTACTGTGAATTTTCAATTAAGCCAAGCCAAGCAAGCTGCTACCACTGCAAACCATTCCATTCTCCGCCATTCCATTTCAATGTTTGCTGCTGCACAAAAATGATGATGATGGTGATGATGATGATGTTGATGAAAGCTTTCTCCACACTATGTCCCTCGCCGATTCTTCGGATTTGGGACGCTTGAAAGGGTTTCAACTGGGCTTTAAGTCTACTCTGTACTCAGTACTCAGTACTCTGTACTCAGTACTCAGCGAAGCAAGAAGTGTCATGAAGTGGCAAGGTTATGCGCTGTGCATAAGCAATTAGCTTTGCGGTTTCCACTCCACTCGGATGATGATACATCCATCTACAATATAAGCGAGCGATTGTGGATTGTGTGCCGCTTTTGTGCCCGCGAGAGTGTAAACAGCTAAAAAGCTAACCAGCTAACCAGCTTTTAGGTCACACAACACACATATCGCGGCTACACACATTAAGTAGAAATGGAAATTGATTTGATGGCGCTACTACTTCGATCATTACTGGAACAGAAGTCTGTTCGCAGGGGGATCGCTTGAAATGGGCACAGCATTGCGTTCTCTATCATATTTCACAATCGCTTGTAAAGTCTACATTTAGCTTCTTACACCCATAAATGCTGCAGCAATAAAACGTTGCTAAATGGATTATCAATTAGCGTTCTTGTTTAGGGTTGTACAAATTTCATATTCAACGGTTTTCATAATTTGATTTTTGCTTCTTACTTATCCATTTAAAGTGATAAGAAATATTGTAAGTGGAATATAAATAAGCGTTTTTATTTAGAGTTGTAACATATTAAAAAACGTTTTTATTTAATTTTTTTAAATTTCTCCATTTTTTCCATCGATTAGAATATTAATCAATTTGAAATGATTCGATATTATTTGTAATGGTTTCTATTTAAAGCATAGAAACTAGATCAGCAAATCATATTAAATTGATTTAAAATATATAGTTATGGATGTCTGAAAAAGAAATTCAAACCTCTGTTAATCAGTATGGTTGGGAACGAATTGGAAATTTCGACACACAATCTGATATTATAAATTCGCTTCATTGGATTAATGGCACCTTATCAAGTGGAATGGAAATAATCTGATTTGATGTGGATTGTCAATTGTTCTAAAAGCTAGTATACTAGCTTAAAACTGAAGATGATGATTTATTACTCAGTGCCATAAAGTATAAATATATGGTTATGGCTAATCTGAAACTTGAACTATCAAGTAAATTCACAGATTTAAAGGCATAATTTGACAATGAAAACTCAATGTTTTTGATGTAGGTATATAGGGCAGCAGAGATAATAGCATTTATTTGAACCCTATCGGATCGGGCAATGGGCCAAGCCCCCCTTTCAAGGGCTCGGCATCGCAGATGATAGATCGTCATCCATGTGGATCATGTGTTGTGTGTGTGTGTACTTGCATCGATCGCAGCCGTGCGTTCAGCGATTGCAGCAATTTTCACACTCCGAAGGCCGCGCACAATTACCGACTACTGACTGATTAACCGCCGATCGGAGTATGTGAGTATGCAAATGGGCAAAGACAAAACACAAAAGAAAAACGGAAAACTGAAAACGGAAAACTGAAAACCGATTCGTCGATCCATGATCTACGTGTGCAGTTGAATGGATCTGGGATCTCTCTCTGCGATTGAACGTTTCAATTCGTTGCTGTCATCTAAAACGAAGCGAAACCTGAGCGATTGCAGAGCCGCGATGTTCTCACGGCGAGTTACACAAAAAGCCGCACATCACGTTTCCAGCATTAATGTGAGGTTGCCCCGCCAGCACACCCCCCTCCTAAATCCGATCCGGATTGCTCC